TAACCTTAACATTTTGCAGAGAAGATAGAGATTCAACTTAACGTCAACATTTCTATTAGAGTTCAATTTGAAACTTTGTTCAGTGATTCTGAAGAAACACTAGCTGCACACACTGGGACAAAGGTTTCTTAGTAGCTTAAATGATGGCTCTGAATCTGAATCTGAAAGTCAGAAACTAAGGCTGATCTAAAATCTAAATTTAACAAACTCCACTCTGCTATCTAAAGATGGAAAATTAATCATATAGTGATGATATATTCATATGTTTACTGTTTTCCAAATTCAAGTCTAAATGAATGGTTCCAAGCAAACACTAACACAATGACCTCACTGAATAACATCCTCACAATGGTCACTGCGTTACATATCAATCTGGCTGTTTTATATGTTTTGTGTACTTCTGCCATATCAAGATATAGATCAGTATCATAATATATTGGGGATATTGTGGAACTGATATCAACAATACCCCCTTGCCCTTCTGTTAGCAGACAGGACTGTTTAACGATCAGTGTTAAAACTGAGGTCAGCTCTTATATCACGGAATCCACAGTTCAGATGTTACAATGGCTTTGGACATGTGACGGGGATTTCTCTTCAGTCATGAGGACGACTGCACAATTCACACACATATGGGAATAAAGGACAGCCACAGCTCGGAGACACTGACTCTGAATGTTCCTTAACCAGAATAATCACATTCATTTTATATAAACGTCTCCCTGTCGACCCCCTTGGGCTTTTTTTTCCTTTTTCTTTCTTTGCAGCAAGAATAATAATAGAAGGATTATTGGCCTGCTTGTCAGGCTATTAAAAAATGAGACTGAGAGACATACACAGACAGACAGAGGAGGAAAGAAGAGAAAGCCGGTCGAAGTCAACCAGTGACAGAGGAAATAAGTGTGTTGCTATAGGGAACAGTAATGAAGATAACTGCTCAGCTGTCTGTTGACGGCCAGCTCTGCTCTTTCCGTCTGACTAATCAGACAGCAGTCGTAGATAAGCCAGGAGCCGAAAGAGCTAGCAAGAAGGCATGCAGCCCCTTCACTCCCTGTAATGAGTACAAATAGCATACTGTATCAACCACCAAACCCAAACACCCATTATCCTTATTTTATATTCTGTCTACATCAGAGTCAGCGGCACAGGGTTACAGTTGTGATTATGATTATGAAACACGGACTCAGAGGGCTCATCCCAGATGCATTAGGTGAATAATAAAACACAAATCATCTTTAGACTCAAATGCTCCCTAATGCCAAAGCACGAACAGGCTGCCACACGTCTCTGCAGCTTTGCACTAATAGATGAATCTCTATTCCTCACATGCTAGAGGTAGGCAGGCCTGTGATCACAGTTAATCAGTAACCTCCAGCATAGCAGGCACAAGCGGTTTCCCTCAGTCTCATCTGTCGGATGTATTTTAAATGAACAGTGCTCTAAAACTAAAACCAAGGACATTCATCTGTCAATCTAAAGTGAATCCTTTCATCACTGAGGCCAATCTTCAAGCACAAAGCTCATCACTGGCTGTCGTCACTGTCAACAAATCCTCTAAAAGACCAGAACCAACAGTGAATTTATTCTACAAACAAGTCTTATGGCTCTGTCCCATAGAGCTCAATAGACCTCCAAAAACATGAACGAGCCAAATGGTTGCGTGGGGTGGCGTGTTCCTTCATTACCATGAACACACTGTAGTTTATGTTAACTCAGAGCCAAATACACTGTCCTTCTGCAAGAAAACCTATTGTGATAGTGTTTTTATATAACCATACTAAGAGTCTACAGTCATCCTGGCAGATCTGTGAGGCTGAACACAACAGTGCTTTGAGCTGCTAATCACTAACAGAGTCAAAGTGACAATGGTGCTGATGCTACTGTACGTAGATCATGTTATCATGTTTACCAACTTAGCGCCATACTCCTTTTAAACAAATATGTGGGTCATAAACCAAAGTACAGGACATATTGAAACTTTGACCTAATGATGCCATAGATGAGGAGTCACAGATGACCAAAGATATCAGTTCATCCTGAGAGTGACATGAATGTGTGTAACACGAGGAGTCACAGATGACCAAAGATATCATTTCATCCGGGGAGTGACATGAATGTGTGTAACAAATTTCGTGACCATCCAGTCAGTAGTTGATGAAACAGATCACAAATGGTCACGGTGGCTAAAGAGGAAAAGGGGGTCACCAAAGTCAGTGGGATTTATCCTCTGGGGAAGATGAAACACATGACCAGAGATATTAAAGGATTTACTACCACGGTACAAACAAAACGATAAGTATCTGATGTTTGACAAATTTTATCATCTCACTGAATATATAATCTTATAGCCCATCTGGGCTGATGAAGACCCTGAAAAGCCAAGGCCGGTTGGTATATAATCATCATTATGCTTATGTAAATAATGGATTTTAATTTGCCTTTCCTCTTTTCCTTTGGATGTAAGAATGCTTTCATTTCTGCGATCAGTTTTTGCAGCTTAGGTTGGCTGGCGACTCCAAACTGCCAATAGGAGTGAGTGTGAGGGTTGGTGTTAGTCTACATGTCAGCCCTGTGACAGACTGGCCACCTGTCCAGGGTGGACCCCGCCTCTCGCCCTGTGACAGACTGCCGACCTGTCCGGGGTGGACCCCACCTCTCGCCCCGTGACAGACTGCCGACCTGTCCGGGGTGGACCCTGCCTCTTGAACCGACCTGTCCGGGGTGGACCCCGCCTCTCGCCCGATGTCAGCTGGGATTGGCTCCAGCCTCCCTATTCAGGATTAAGTGGTATCAATAATGGATGGATGGATTTTTTTGTTTGACATACATGTTAAGGTTCCCTGGACTCGCTGTACGTGAAACTGACTGAGCACTGGCCTCTGCATTGTTAAACAGGTTTTCCTGTTATTCTGTTTGGCAGACATAAATACTGTAGGTGTGTGTGTGCAAAGTTTATAATGGAGAAAAAGTGCTGATGTGTAGATTTTGGGTTTAATTAGCGTGAGCATGTGCCTGACTAGCAGGCGACATTCTGCCCAGTGTGCCTGCACCTCTCTCTCTGCCTTTGTCTGGTTGAATTATCGCCAGTATAGAGGCTCTCTGGAGGTCTGTGCTCTCTACTCGCTCTGCCACCAGGTAACTAAGGAATAACTCATCCCTATCAGAAGGGCAGTTAATCAGCATCCCAGCGTGCACAGGGCTGGGGCTGAATTCACTTTCAGAGCATCTGGATTATTAAACATGTGCACAAAATCTCCATCTTACCAAGTCTGTTTGTGTATTACTGGGTTGTTAAATTTTAAATTATATGGCCAAAAGTGTGTGGACACATCTGTTTTGTGTAGTTGTGGTCTGAGTGTGCTTTCCTGGTTTGCACGGCATCTGCATGTTCTTCCTGTGCCTGCATGGGTTCTCTCCAGCTACTCTGGCTTCCTCCCATGCAGCTTAGGTTGATTGGTGACTCTAAATTAATGAGTATTTATACAGTATGATGAAATCTAGCTATAGGCAATCAGTGGAGTCTTTGGTACAGGCCACTGACTCCCAACCTGGGAGTTTCAAGGGGTACCAAGGTAACCATGTTGGGTCAGAAGAAGGTTATAAATTCACTTTGCAGGTCAATGGGAGGAGAAGAAAAATCAAAGTGTTGCCTTGAATATTATGAAGCTTCTACATAATTTCATCTGTTCAGTGTAATATCCTGCATTCTCACTGACTTTTGATTAAGCATTAAAGTTGTGGCATGTGGCTGTAGAGAAAGGAGAACTGTACCTGTCTGTGCATCCTATCAATGTATATTTCTGCCTATGTGCAGACACATGAGTGTGTTACATGTGAGTCAGTATCTGTAGTTTGCTATCAGCACATCTCCTCTCTTCTGTGACAGGGCAGAGGTTATAGCAAGCATCGTGTTGCAGGGATCGCATGTGGAAACACAGCCTCCTGTTGCAGACAACATCTTCTAAACTTACCCCATTTTAATCAAGCCTCTGTGCTGCTTCTCTCCTCCTACAGGCCACTGGCTCAGGTCCCGCAGTGCCCAGCTTCCTCAGACAGAGATCTGTCTGGGGCCTCCACCAAGCCAGACTAACATGGCCCTGAGCTACAAAGAGAGAGTGGGGATAAAAGAAAAACACACATGAATCAATGATCTGCACTTTCTAAACATGATAAAGTACAGGAGAGAAAAACACTGTGCCAATTGCCAGTGCTTTTGACTCTGCAAGACAATTAGAGAGAGAGAGAGAGAGAGATGGAGCAACAAAGACCTGAGGCTTGAATCACAGATGTGTCCTGATACTGTAAAATGAACCGTGCCCTCCTTCGCAGATTGAATTAGATGTTGAGTCAGTTACTTAATTAGTGTTTGTCTGTCATGAGAAAGTAGCAGATTAAAAGCAACACATGAAGAGCTTGCATACAGTGTGTGTGTGTCAGAGGTTTGTTGAAAACAGGCTGCGTATCATTGCCGAACCCTGTTATTTCCCAGCAGCAACACAGGTCTACATTAACGATCCAGTTTCTATTAAATAAAATCATTATGTTTAATCAGCTCTGGGTAATATGCTGCTGGTACCTGCCTGAGGGCCTCAGAGGAAGGTTACTTTTAATCCACACAAACGCTAAAGTAAAATACATTAAATCACACATGTATTCTTCTAAAATAAACATAATAAAATAACATAAAATTAGGCACATTTTAATTAAATCAAACTAAACATTCTGTAGTTAAATTAAATTTGAAAATTAATTGTACAGATTATACAGATTCGTACAGGTCTCTAGTTTTAAGTATTCTGTTTTTATTCTTATTATCTCATCTCAATGAACATTCCTTTGTCTGTCTGCATCGTTTACTGCCTGTTTATACTGTTTATTTTGTTATATTACAGCCTTATGCTGGTTTACTGTTTGCACATTGAGAGCTGATGTAACCAGAGTCAAATTCCTCGTGTGTCCGTCACACCTGGTCAATAAAGTTGATTCTGATTCTGAAATCTGTACTCATCAAGTTAGAAAAGACACACCCCCATAAATTTAAAGTACATAAATCTGATGTAATAACGAGCTTTGTCCTTGTCACATACAATAAAAAACAATCAAATAAAACCTGGTGCAACCTTGGAGTGTGAAATGATCCTTTCAAATAAACAGTGTAACAGTAAAGACCATTATATGCATTTACCTGAAACTGTAAATATGTTCTTTACACTACTGCTGATCTCAAGATATTAAAATTCAGCATCAAGTTGCATTTGAGGATGAAGACAATAGAAGTGAAACGCCATAAATTCAGACATAACTACAGCAGCCATGAATGTAATGTAGGACAGCAGCAGTTCAGATCAAACACACAGCTCAGACTGGGAAACACGGCTCTGCAGGAATGAACAATCAGTTCACAAAACTCAAAGAACCGCCCCCACCTCGTCTTACAGCCCGACTGCTCCACTGAACTCATATCCACCATCTTCAGCCACGTGATGAAAAGAGGCGACTGAATGTTTCTGACGTTAACCCCCCCCACCCAGGGGATGCTGGGGTGGAGAGCACTGTGACAGTATCCTCTAAAGCTTTGACAAGAGGCTGTCACTAAAATGAACGCCCCTCCACCCCCCTCCTCCATCCTAGGAGTGCTGGATGATTGACAGGGCATCCAGTGGGGACCCCCACCCCCCACGCAGGCTCCTGCTTTTCCTCTGCAGCAGTGGCCCAGCTTACTTTGTTCCTGTTTTGTTTGTCACCAGCTCTGTTGAGTGAAAACAGATTTTAAGACCGTGTATTAGCCAGGATCTGTGTTTTCAGCTTCAGCTCTCCCTCACTCACAGAATCACCTCGCTCTGTCACTCCCACTGAAACGGATCTGTCCTGTGAGGGAATTAGAAACTGACTCGGCTGTCCCATTTATTTATTTCATGTTTGTTTTTTATCTGGCGAGGGTGTAAATCACTGAGCCACTTCCCTGCCGTTCCAGCCTGTTTCCTTTATCCTCTCCTCATGGGCACAAAGCCTCCTAAACTGTGCAGAAGTGTTTCTCAGCAGACTGTGGAGACACCTCCTATTACTAAGCTCTGTGTGTGTGTTGCAGACAGGATGTCTTCTAGATCTTATGCATTTGGAGAAGAGGTGATAATAATGCGTTCTGTGGTTTTGACAGCTCCAGCGCTCCCTACAGACATGCAGACTCATGCTTTTGTCTGTCTGGTCTAGCTGTGTGTGAATCTCTCAGCTACACACACCTTAATACTTGTATCTGTTGAAAATCTCACCACTTTATCTTTAGGATATTACATTATTTTAGATTGTGGTTCCATAAAAACAGATGTATTCAAAGGCGTAAACATCCAGTATCTCACATCCACGAATATCCTGATCCACAAGGGAAAACAGTGACTGAATAGACAAGAATCCAGCAATGAAAAAAGAAGAAGGATATACAGTAGGTGTTACATGATAGCGTTCCTGCCCAAATACACTTGAGCCTATTCAAAAAGACCATGACTATCAGGTTTCAGAGCTCAGACGTCCACAAATCAACAACCACAATGCAAACACTGCATGAATGAATTAGGACAAGACAAAGTTTTCTGAGGCACCGAAGAAATCAAGAACATGAAAATGCCAAAATGATAAGATACTACAGAGTATCTACAGTACACGACTGCTTGTTTATTTTTAAGGTTAATTGTTAATACTGTAATGTAGTGTTACCAAAGTGTGGGCCACAGCCCCTTGGTGGGTCATGAAGGTGCTGCAAGTGGGCAGCCAGAGGTCACTTACAGTAAATTAATAAAAACTTTTCCATTTTCAATGTTGATTTTAGGTTTGAACTTACCATAAAATATTTATGATTAAATATCCACATTTACAAATGTCATGTGAACTAACAAAGGTTATGGAATTAAAATTTTTCATTTAGCTGACCTGTTTGGGTGATTTTTGTTTATTATAAAATGCCAAACAGCTACGATACCTTTTGTTTATACTGAAGATACTGTATGTACTGCTGGTTAAGAGGGATTAAGGTATTATAAGGTAATCCTTTCAGAACAAATATTTAAATTCACAAGCAAAAAACTGCTGCCTGCAATCTGTACAAGGACTCAGCATTAGTCAGAACTCTGTCAGGTAGCCTGGTGGTTCGAGTTAATATTTAAACACCCTTAAAGACGACATGGTACGAATGTGTTCACCTCCCACTACAGGTGTACTGTGGCTCAGCAGGTGTCTGACTCGTTCCATGACCTGTGCAAATGAAAGGCCAGCCAATGTTAGCGCAGCTGGAAGACACAGCAGGAGTGTATCAGACTTAGCAGAGCTCACAGGGCGGAAGAGGACACACGGCCTGACATACTCAGACCTCACGCGGCCACACATTGAGCCATCTACAGTGGGTACGGAAAGTATTCAGACCCCCTTAAATGTTTCACTCTTTGTTATATTGCAGCCACATGCTAAAATCATTTAAGTTCATTTTTTTCCTCATTAATGTACACACAGCACCCCATATTGACAGAAAAACACTGAATTTGACATTTTTGCAGATTTATTAAAAAAGAAAAACTGAAATATCACATGGTCATAAGTATTCAGACCCTTTGCTGTGACACTCATATATTTAACTTAGGTGCTGTCCATTTCTTCTGATCATCCCTGAGATGGTTCTACACCTTCATTTGAGTCCAGCGGTGTTTGATTATACTGATTGGACGTGATTAGGAAAAGCCACACACCTGTCTATATAAGACCCTACAGCTCACACTGAATTTTTTTTTGTAACCTTGGCCAGATCTGTGCTTTGCCACAATTCTGTCTCTGAGCTCTTCAGGCAGTTCCTTTGACCTCATGATTCTCATTTGCTCTGACATGCAGTGTGAGCTGTAGGGTCTTATATAGACAGGTGTGTGGCTTTCCTAATCACGTTCAATCAGTATAATCAAACACAGCTGGACTCAAATGAAGGTGTAGAACCATCTCAGGGATGATCAGCAGAAATGGACAGCACCTAAGTTAAATATATGAGTGTCACAGCAAAGGGTCTGAATACTTATGACCATGTGATATTTCAGTTTTTCTTTTTTAATAAATCTGCTAAAATGTCAAACATTCTGTGTTTTTCTGTCAATATGGGGTGCTGTGTGTACATTAATGAGGAAAAGAATGAACTTAAATGATTTTAGCATATGGCTGCAATATAACAAAGAGTGAAAAATTTAAGGGGGTCTGAATACTTTCTGTACTCACTGTACGTTTAAATGAGTCTTTTTGTGTCTGTTCAACTTTATCCACACTGGCTGCTTTTTATAAACAGCCTCCTTAGTGACTTAATCTGAAAATAGCAGACTTGGCATTTTAGTGGCTGAGGAGCTTCTGGAAAACATCAACATGGGCCTGTCTCAGTCATGGCTGGGCCAGGGAAGTTAAAGCAACTTATACTGGCAATTTGATTTGTGTTGTGTTATTCTCCATTTCTACACTGCATGTAAAAGTAAGTTGTTACAAACTAAGACAATCTATGACCAAAAAAAGAACAAAACCAATGATTAGTGGAGTTTTAAGTTTATTTGAAGGTATTAGAAGTTGAGTCAAAGGAAGCCCTCATGCTGGTACTACAAATGTGTGGGTGAGTGCATGTGCTTTAGTGCACAGACATGCTGTGTTTGCTAGCATGTAGCAGAGAATGACAGATGTCTGTCCACACACTGCACGGTGAAATGCAGTCTGGGTTCAAACCCGGCTTGAGCACGGCCAGCTGCACAAATATAGTATTTCACTTTGTCTGAAGACACCTGCCACCAGTGGACACTGAAATACAGCCAACTGGTTTCTCTTTTATGAGCCCCGGAAGCCACAGAGCTGCCAGTAACAACAGTGACATACACCTCGGCCGAGGGAGCAGAGTGCGTAAATGTGACTCAGTCAGATGAAGTAAGAAGGTGACAGAACTGCTCCAAAGGAGTGAAGACATAGTCAGCGTCACATGCAAAATGTACAGTACACTATCAGTGTCTGTATTTACATCTCATTATGTTCCATTTGCATAGCATTTATCTAATACTGTGACATGTTCAAGCTTCTCAACAGACTCACCCATACCTCAAC